CAAAATATTTTCTCTCTGGCATATGACAGGAATCCTAATGTTACTCACCTATCTTTGGAGTAATTATTATTATCTGGTTGTTGTTTCATTTCCAGCAGGTAGGTTCCTGCAGACACAGGTCGGCTTTCAGACGTATCTCGCTTTCATTCAGATATGTCTGTATTGATAAAAGCACACTACAAGTTCCTAGAGTATTCATGCAATTCCCTCACCTGGGACTGGTGGTTCATTCTGAATTTTGAGAATTAGTCACGCAGGGATTACTTTCAAGAAATGATTATTTAAACCACCTTCCAAAAGAGATCTTTGTCTAATTTTCATATATCCTGTGGCCCTTCAGTTATTTGAACAGCAAACATTTTTAAAAATCATTTACCACAAGTAAATAATGTAGTTGATATCTACAGTTAGATGGAGGTCCAACATATCAGTTGTTAACTACAGTGATCAGAGATTGCAGTGGTTCTTCAAGCCATTAGAAAGGTATCATTTGCATGTGCAATTGTTTTTAGCAGCAGAATTTAAATGTGGAGGAGGAAGCTATAAGGCAGATGCATTCTGATTGAAAAGAGCAATTAGAGGGCAGTCTGTGGTCACAGCATCATGGCTAGTGCAAAAAAGAGACTGGAAGCCTGTGGCTATATTCTCCCATGTGGTGAAAACACCATGGTCAGCACCTGGTAGCTTTAGCCCAATAGATCTTTTAAAGCATGAGAAACTATACATGAGCTGTGTGGGTTTTTTTTTTTTATGCATTCCTAAAATTGAATTTTTTTCTTTATTTAATACACCACAAATATTTCTCTGGCTAGCACAATTTATTTTTGTTATTACTACGTGTCAGGGCTTTATTGCATAATCTTGGCATCAGCTGCAAAAGGCAACAGAATGCTCCCAAAATGCATCTTATACAGAAAAACAGAAAAAGATAGAAGAGGCAATTCCAGCAAAACATCTGTGATGACATATTCAGCCCATTATTTTGTCAACAGTGCAAGTATTTGGTGGCATAATAAAAAGATACACTTTGCTTTGTGAAAACATTAAGAGATAACAGCCAAGTTAAGTAAGGTACAATTAAGGGTTTGCTAAACCCATGGGATTCAGCTTTCAGAAAAATAAAAATAGAACTATTTTCCTACGTTCTTCCAAGTTTTGTTTGTAGTTCTATGGGAATTAAACAATAGCTTTAAAGAAAGTGAGTATTTTTTAAAACTAATGCACAATAAAAAGATATGTAAGTTAACTATAATAGCAATAAAATTATGATATGCAAAGGAGAAAAATCAAGCTCACTTGGCGGCAAAAAAACAACTTATTCATGGCCAGCTTGCTTTGAGGGGAAAAAAAGCACAATCCACCTTAAAGATTCATTTTATATTGCCGTGCACCAATTTTGTGCTTCATTTTTTTGGCATAATCAAGTTTTATTTCAACACATCTTGGAAATGAACTACAATGAGCATGTTTCCTTTTGATACGTGTTCTTTTTCAAATATTATGCTGTGTAACATCAATGAAGTCACTGAACAGACACCTGATTTATGTTAGTATAAATGAGAGCAGCATGGATGTTCATAGACTATTTTGCTTTTCCCTTCTCCTTACCCTTTGTTCCATAGTATTCTTCACAAATATAAAAATAAGAGGAATTATTTAAAAGTGATTCATCAAGTTCCTTTAGATTCTGGGTTGAAGGCAGTCATCTTAAGAAAGGGTTCTGTAGGTTCCTCCCTATTTAGTGCTGTACCTGCCTTTCCTAACAGGCTGATAGAGTGACACAGTTTTTTAAAAAAAAAGAACCTAAAAATGTCAATTAAAATTTGGTTTGTAGCTAATTGCTTTTTATCTCAGATTCTCACATCTGTTTGATACAGGCCCCAGTTTAACATGTAATTCTACGGATTTCTGGCAGTTCTGGGCTGAATCCATGAGCCTTAAATCTGCAGGTGAACTCCTTGCCACTAGGCACTTGTGGATTCTCTCTCTGACTGTGTCCCCTTGGTGTTGTCTGTCGCCATTCATAGTCTTTTTTCTTCTTTCTTTTTTTTCAGTCATGTGTTGCAATGATCTAAGTTCTGTACTGAAGAATATACTGGGCTGGCAAAGCCAAAAGACAACCTACAGCTTTTCTGAGTCGTGGATGAGACATAGCAACCTTTGGGATTATTGCCTAGCAACAGCAAACACACACTGAGGAGTAAAACTTACAGTCCAGCTCTACGGCAGGATTGAGAAATCCCTAATTCAAGTTTTTTAATGGCTGAGAACAGATGGACATATATTTAAATTTCTACTCATTTGCAAAACCACTCTGAAAGCAGGAGGAATAAGATCTATTTTTATACCTGCTCCAAAGGTAAGAAAAACAGTTCTTTAGAGTTTCAGAAAACAAAAGGGAAAGTATTTTTTAATTTTAATTGAAAATTAAAAGATGATCAAATGTTCAAAGGGTATTGGGCACATTGATTAGTGAGATAAATATTCTCCATGAAACACTTTAAGGAAGAGCAAAACTATTTCTGAGCAGCAGCAGAGAAAAAGAAGTTGGACTCAGTTTTTGAAAGGACTTATGTAATTCAAATATTACCAAAATATTTATCTGGACAGATTTTAGTCTTTCCTTGCCCTATTCCAGGCATGTAAATTCCTAAGACAATAACAATGAAACTGTAAAAATCTTACTTGTGAATATATTTGTTTCTTGTACAGAAAGCGGGGAGATGATCATTTTGTACCTGCAGGGATTCCAGCAAGAATATTTCTCTCACAGAAAAGGAGCCAGGAAAGTGGCATCCTACTAAATAATGAAAAGCTTATCTTGCACTCAGCTTGAACAAAGGCTTACAGGAAACTTTATATCACATTTCAAATTTCCTGGGTGTTCCTAAAGGTTGTTTCTGTGTCCTATGCTTACTATTATTTGGACAATCAATCCAGACTCCACTTGGGAATGTCATAGGCCTTGAGACCTTTGTCTGTTATATCTATTATGGGCCAAATTCTCAGTTATCTCTAAGTTCCTTCATTCCTTCCTTGTCTGTTTTTTCTCTCCTAAAAATTAGAGCAATGGGCTTGGTTCTTTATGCCCTGCTTCTATTCTTGGAGTTATGCCAGTGTCATGGAATGGAGATAGAGCAGTTACACTTAGTTTTGTCTTTAATGTGGGAACATAGGTGTGTTTATAAACACCAATCCTCACAATCATCCAGTGTAGAAAATAAATTCATAATCCTTCAGAGTCAGCCACCTCATAGAGTGCAGTTGCCCCTTTAACATTGCACAGAAACTTAAAATCCTGGTAAAGGATGTTAAAAAATAATGTAAGTATTTGAAACTGAGAACAGTTTATTTTGGCACAACAAGACCAGTTGATTTGGAATGTGACCAGGACATTTGGTTAACACCTTGCTTTGAACCAAAAAGAGTCTGGTTTTATAGCTTATTGAAAAAAAAACTCACCTAAGCAAGAGCAATTTGACAGGGTTGACAGGTTCGTCTTTCTGCTATTATAAATCTGCACTCCTTTACATCTTGTGTCCTTTGGTGGGAAAAACAGCTACCATTTTTTGAAGACTCTGTTTGGATCAGGCAGGCGCCTTGATCCATAAATCTGTCTCACTCCCGAGCAGGTAATCATTATTCCAAACAAATGACTGGAAGATGCCAGCAAGCCCATTCGGAAAACAGATGCAGAAATTTAGTGCCATGAAGCATCCTACCTATCCAAGTGGTATTTGGATTCACAGTGGTTATGAACCAGAAGGTCAACATCCTGGTAATTACCTTGGTGTGCCAGGAGGACCATAGATCACATTTGTGCATTTCCTGGAAGGCTAAACCCTCTGCAGAAACACTACAAATGCTTAAGTATGAAGCAAAACACATCAGAAGCAATAGTATTGCTATGGATACTGAAAGGCCTTAGTGAAATGCACTTTCAAATACAATATTAATATCACCATTCCCTTGCTGCTGTTTAACTCTGGGCTTTTTTTTTTTTCAGCATGCTGGTGATTTTTCATGCTTTGAATTAAGTAGTTAAGCTACATTCTGCAGCATTTTGTATATGTAAATCCCATTACAGATGCTTTTAATTTTGTATGGAGACATACAGGAATATTTTTCAAATTGTACGTCATGGGAAACTTACTTTCTCCCCGATATTTCTCAGAATAAACCTTCTAAGAAGAAAATAGTTTGTGAAACTGTAAAGGGAGATAGCGTCTCTCTGAAGTCTATCTTCTACAAAACGATGTACAAGATTAAATGGTGGTGAACAGCTTAATTTCAGAGTTCAATGTATAGTTACCTTTCCTTAGGAGCTCTGCATTCTCTGTGTTCCTTATTACCTTTAAAAATACGCAGAGGAAACAAAATTGCAAAAGTCGAATTTAAGTAGCCTATAGGGCAGGCCTCTACACTGCGGGAAACTGTGGAAAAGTTGAACTTTTCTGCAGGAAAAGTTGAAGATAAAATGGTAATTGAGGATAGCAAAAAGGGGGAAAAAATGCACAGATACAGAAATCTCATTCCCAGGCATCTGGTACTTTGCATGGTTTGCTTCCTGATTCTCCTCTCTGCTGGAGTTCCTGGAGGCAAACCCTAACAGAAATAATGACATTAGGAGTTAGAGAAATACAGTAGGGGAAGGACTTCTGAAGACTGTTCTCTTCTTGTTTCCTAACTCACTAAGTGACCTGAAATTAATCATATGTCTTTTGTGTCTCAGTTTTTTTATTCCATAAAAGATGAACACAGTTATTTAGTTGCGCTGTCTCCAAGGGCTGTTGTGATACATAATTAATCTTTATAAATCATTTACTGATCTTTGAAGTAAAGGGACTGTATTTATTTAAGAACACAAAGCAGCAGAGCATAAAAAAGAACGCAGAGAAATATCTATTAGTTATTTCCTAACTAGAGACTTGCTTCCTGTGTCACCTGTTAGGACACTGCTGTATCTTGTGGCATTATATAACATACTTGTGTGCTTTTCTGTGTCACGATGCAGGAAGCATGGCTGCCGAGCCAGAAGAAGCAGCCCAAATTCCAGGTCAAAAATTCCCCAAACACGGAGATAAGAATATAACTGTCACAGAAATGAAGACAAATCAGGGGAGTGATAAGCTACTGTGTCTTAGCAATTATGCTCCATGGAAAGAGTATTTCTATGAAAAGGTACAGCAGAGAACTTTGAGTCTGCAGGAGACAAAGCTGAAAATGTTTCAGGAGCAAAAGGCAAAAGAAGAAAAGGTAAAAAAGAGAGGACCCTGTGACTGGCTGCCCAAGGACTGGTTTAGTGAAGAGAAATGCTCACTGGATACTCGCACCTATTTGCTTGACAAGCTCCTACCTACATTAATCCCAGGCGTGGAAAAGCTGTTAATGGAAGTGGAAAGAAAGAATGTGCTTGCAGCAGACAAACACCCAACCAATTTTGACCCAATTATTTTTCTTGGAGAATATCTGATGAGGCATAACCCCAAGTCTGATATTTTTACAAAACCAGGCCCATATGTGAGAGGAATGAGGATGGTCACAGAGGAGCTAAAAATCGAGGTGCCAGATACAACATCAAACAGGTGAGAGAGTTGAAAGTGTGGCTGATTGCAAGACTTCAGCTGGTGTTTCTGTCTCTATTTTATGAAAGGAATGGAATGATGACAGTCTAGTTTGCAAAATATGAAACTAATTGCACCTTGTGGAAGACAGTGCCGGAAATGATAGTTGCCTCCTTCTTAAACACTGAGAAGCAGGACAAATGCCTGACCATGTCACATAGTATGAAACAACAGTCATTCCTATATAAAGAAATATTCTGCCCTTCACAGGTATATAATACCTCCTTTGATTCTATCTTAACTACCTGTGTGGAATGCAAAAAAACCTTTTGAACCAGTCTTGAACCAGTCTAGGTTCCTCACAGTAGTTCTTTAGGACATATTATTGGTATCAATGGACTATGGATTTTTCAGACCATTTATTTTATATTCTTTCAAACTTAATGGAGAGATGAGCCTTAGTTCTTATTCAGGATGTTTTCGCTTTACCAGACCAAGAGCAATATTGTCCTGGTATGGAAAGTCCTTGTCTCAGAATGTTTGCTTCCTATTTTAACAGGAAGATGGATCTGAAAGGAAAGCATAAAGTAAAAACACTAAAGTAAAATGCTATTTTTATTTTATTGTCTGTCCTATGTGTGGTGTATATTTATTGCTTCAGGATAATATTTAGTGAATATTGGATGATCTTACGATATGTAACAGTTACAATGTGAGTGCATTGGGTGAACAATAATGCTTCCATTTTAATTACATTGTTTGGAAAAATATAGAAGTGAACATTTATGTTTATAGATGACCCAGGGGTGATTGTGGATGATGTAAAATATACTCATTACTACTAGAACATTTTATTCTGTACCTGTGTGTAGAATAATGATTGTTTGAATGGCTGTCTCTTTTGTTTGCATAAATAGTACGTACAGCTTGAAAATTGGTTTCAGTCAGGAATTAGGGAGGTAGAATGTTAGGATGTCTTATGCATGACCATAGATGAAGATAATTGAAGTTCTCAGTATTATAATGAATAAAAGAATATGTTAAATTTTTCTCTCTCCCCCCTCAGTCTCTGTCTCTCTATAGTCTACATACCATTATAATTCCTAGGCACGTGCCCTATACGAATGCAATTAAAGCCATGTGATAAATGAATCTCACACAGTCACTAATGTCTTTTTCCCACATAGCATAAAATAAATATAACTGTACTGAAAATACTCAGTATGTGAGAGCTCAGCTTTTTGGCTTTTCCTAATAGAGAGGTGTGTAATACTGAAAGCAAAGGTGGTAAAAGATTCTTTTACAAGACACAGTTATATTGGAAATGCCAATTTTCTGAAACAAATGATCTGTGGAAACATCTGGTTTTCAGTGAACTTTCACACAAGCACAGGCTGTTGCGGGGGAATGCTTGGGATCCCAAGCTTGCCAAGCCTTTGTTTTGGGGGCTGTTTCATCACTCATACTGCCTCACAGAAGGACACCTGGTAACTGGAATTTTAGGACCATATCTGTTTTCCTTTGAGGAAAAAAAAAGTATTTAGAATAATATTTTTTC